TTTGAACCTCCAAGTTTCTGTACATCCCAGCTAATTGGTCCAACCGCCCCTCAACTCGCTCGAATCTATCCGAAGTCACCTTAGCAAGTTTTTCCACCGCGATCTCCCAACTTGGTTTAGTTTCAGCCTGTGGTTGCCTTGGTTGAAATCCCGGCGGATTGGTTGGCCTTTGTTGATTGCCTTGATCTTTCCATCCAAAGTTTGGATGATTTCTCCACCCCGGATTGTAAGTATTCGAGTAGGGATTATTTGGAGCATTTCGGTTGTAATTATTGACAAATTGTACCTGCTCAGAATCAACACACTCATTAATATCATGTTCACCTCCACAGAAAGAGCAACAAGCTACGTGTGCATTAGATGAACTTGGACCAACTCCACCTTGTCTACTTAGCAATTTCATCACATTATTCATTTGAGTACTCAGCATATTGAGAGTGTCCATTTCTATCATACCTGCGTGACGTCTCGTATTACCTCTTTCATTGGCCCATTGGTAGTTATTTGCTGCCATTTCTTCTATCAAATTACGAGCCTCTTGGGGTGATTTACCCATTAAAGCTCCACCTGCAGCTGCATCGATCATAGTTTTAGTAGAAAAAACTAAACCATTATAGAAGGTTTGTATGATTAACCATTCCGGCAGTCCATGATGTGGACATTTCCGAAGCAAATCTCTAAATCTTTCCCATGCCTCATATAATGATTCACCTTCCAATTGGCTAAAACTAGTGATATCCATTCTAAACTTAGCAGTCTTACCTGGTGGAAAATACTTATTTAAGAATGCTCTTGATAGTTCATCCCATCCAGTGAAAGTATTAGGAGCATGAGAGTGTAGCCAAAGTTTGGCCTTATCTCTCAATGAAAATGGGAACAATCTTAGCCTTATAGCATCATCACTAACTCCATTCATTTTAATTGTATCACAAATTTCCAAGAATGTAGCTAAGTGTGTATTAGGATCTTCTACTGCATTACCTCCAAATTGAGATTGTTGAACCATTTGGATAAGTGATGGTTTAATCTCAAAATTGTTAGCATTTACCGTAGGCCTTACTATGCTTGTTTGAGATCCTTGTGTTCCCGGTAGAGAATAATCTCGTAGAACTCGCCTATTTGGGTCATTTTCGGCCATCTCTTCCGCAAATGGTAGTTCTATCAAAATTTCCTCTATCGGTTGCCAAATCTCTTGTTCCTCTTGCTGTTGTGTGTGCCTCCTTTGTCTACGTAGTGTCCTCTCAATTTCTGGATCGACAGGTACGACTTCTCGAGACTCCCGGTGCATACACTACAAACAGAAATAAGGGATATTATGCAACTTCAATTGTCAAAAACTGATTACAAAATAAGATTAAATATAAAAAAAATAATACTGTCTAAATTAATAAAGATGATTAGGCTCTAATATTGCCGCTCCCCGGCAACGGCGCCAAAAACTTGACGGGATTTTTTTTATCAATGCAAGTTTAATTCCGAATTTACACCCGTTGGACTGCAAGTATACAGGTCGCAATTGTAGTACGAGATGTGTATCGGGTCGATCCCACGAGGAGCAATTTAAAACAATTATTAGATACTAATTTACTCTATTATTTAGACTCACAATTAATTTGAGCAGAAACTTCAGATTTTAATTCAACTACAAAAATTCTTAAATAGATAAATGCAATTTCACAATAGGAGTAGAATTCACTAAATATTAAGATCTAGGGATGTAGATTCCACTTATGACACAAAAGATCTAAAATGAATTAATTCAACACTTGTTACTGCTCTTGTTTAACCAAGGATTCATTTCCAGAAATACCAAAATCACATTCTCATGATAATAATGGGTTAAAACAGATTAGTTTTTCCTAATCTCTTGGTAAATACTAAATCTGTTCTTATTCACACATGAAATGCAGATTTCATCCACTTGAATGTATTTCTATTCTCATGAATATACTACTCAAGCTCTACTTATGTCATTCCATTATTTTTACCATTTCTCAATGAGTAAAAACAACTATAAACCTGCTATTGGTGATCAAGCAACAAGTAATCCAACATACACAAGTAGATAAGTTAATACAAGACATAACAAGCATAAATCACAATCACTTCATATCATTTGGCCATAAGCTTCATCTACTCCCTAGATAAAGGAAATTAGCTACTCATGAATGATGAAACACTCATAACTTCATTAATGCAAATCATCATAAATTTACAAATACAAAAAGAGTAAAGAAAATCTTAGCCAAGATATGGTGAAGCCTTCCAAAAATCTCCTTGTCTTGAACTTAGATGATTACAAGATGAAACCTCAATTGTCCCTTGCAAGTACCTAGCTAGAGAGAATATGTTTTTCTGTAAGAAGCTAAGCTACGAATGGATCCCAGATCTCTCCCCATATCTCTGCATAAAAAACACTCAAATGCTCCATTTTTCCAAGTCAAATTCTATCCTTTGATTCCCAAATCTCCACTTTGTTAGCATAGTCAAAAACCAATATTTTTGACTTGAAAATAAGCCACTTTTCTTGCCCTTTTGTCTTCTGAAGCATGTGCACCGAATTCCCTTGCATCTTATAGCTGGAAAGTGGTATGAACACAAGAGAATTGGCTGAGTCAAATTGCAGAATTTCGGCTATAAAACGCGCCTACACAAAACGCGGTTACAAGTCACGTTTTGTGTACTCGCGTATTCACTTTGGCCTTATTTCATCTGCGATTTTCTCTATCATAAAGGCCGAACTAGCTTTTGTGCAAAACACAAAAGTTGTAGCCCTTTGAGTTAGCTTTCCAATGCTTCAAGAATCATCCAAATCGGAGCTTTGTAGCCTGAGATATGATCGAAATACTGTCACCTGTTCAAACCTCTGTTTTAACTTCCGACCACAGGGTGCAGCTTCTGTATTCCAACGTTTTGCCCATGAAGATGGCAGAAATGGATTTCGATGTCTTCATACGAATTGTAGGTCTCTTTCTTAGCTTTAAAATGGTATAAAAATCACCTCAATCCGATAAGTGTAGCTCCAGATATGGTCAAAATACTGAAAAGTGTCAAAACTGACTTGTATTGCATTTTCTCACTTGAACGTTTTTCACTTCATTCTTCTTGTTGCCACTTAAATTCATCACCAAATCTCTATTTTTCACCTCAATTGACCTCCTTTGGTGATTGATTCATTATTCCTGCATAAAAATGAAGTTTTTACTATTAAAATCAATAGAAATGCAATATTATCCACTTTTACCAAAAATATATAATTTTACCAAAAACCTCTTTATTTTAATTATAAAACTAAATAATCAACTCAAAATTAACTAATAAAATGCACTAAAAAATACGTAAAATAAACTCTTATCAGTCATCGTGGGAGAGAATGTGTCAGCGGTTCTACAAAGGAAGTTCCCACCGAAGTGTGGGGATCCAGGTATGTTCACTATCCCCTGTAAGATAGGCAACACTTTGATTAGGAAAGCCATGCTGGACTTAGGGGCATTGATTAATGTAATGCCTAAATCTATCTATACTTCTGTGAACCTAGATCCATTAAACGAAATTGGGATAATAATTCAATTAGCTGACTGAACCAATGCATACCCTAATGGGTTGGTTGAGGATGTGTTGGTCAAAATTAATGATTTGGTATTTCCAACTGACTTTTATGTACTTGACATGGATGATGATCATTCTCCTGACCCCTCACCTTTGCTACTAGGTAGACCCTTTTTAAGCACAGTACAGACAAAAATTGATGTTAATAAGGGTACCTTATCTATGGAGTTTGATGGAGAAATTGTTCATTTTAATATCTTAGATACTATGAAATATCCCTCAAACTCTAACTTTAGTTCTATTTTTTCTGTGAGTACTATTAATTAAGAGCTGCTCTTGAATTGAGAATGGTTAACGTATTTTTACTGGTCTCTGTGTGTGGTCAAGTGTTATGTGTGGATGTTTAAAAGAATAGATGTATTGCTGAGATACACCTCCCTTGTAGTGTAATGAATCTTGAAGGTGCCAAGAATGCACCAATAAATAAATAAAACCAGCTGTGTGTGTTTGAGTTCATGTATATGTATATTTTGTGTCTCCATTAATTAATTCCATGCAGCGTCCAATCTTTGCGTTTCGAATGTTGATTGATTACTCTACTCATGATTAGTTATAAAGTCCTGCTAAATGAAGCTTTATTAAAATCACGATCGATGAGTCACACAAGTGAAATTAAACACAAACAAAGTGGCAAAGATGAAAACGGCCAAACAGACGTAAAACTAGAACAAAACTTGCTGAATGAAATGTACATAAGAATTTAACAAAAGCAAAAATACCTACCCATAGCTAAAGTCTTAAATGATCCAAACCTCAACATCACTTGGAGAGTCTTGGTTGATTACACCTGCTAGAAACTAAACTAAATGGAATTCTATTTAAACCGAAACTAGACCTTAAAAGAAATACTGAAAGTGGACTGGAAAGCTAAACAATTACTAAAGCAATTGGAAAGCACTGGATTTGCTAAGCAGCTTTGATCTGTATCGTGTGGACTTCACATTATCGATCCTTGCTTTTCTATTGAAGCCATTGAAGAATTCTTCCCGGCTTTAAACTCTTATCTTTTACCCCTTTTTAGAGATAGAACCTTCATTGCTTATGTCCATCGATCCATGTCCGATTGTTTCATGACAGGTGTTAAAGTTGTACAATAATAAATACTTAAATAAAATACAAATTTTTGTATATAGCGATGAGTAGAGTCGAATCCACAGGGATCGAAAAAAATTTGTTTCTTCTAGAGCACAAAGTAAGAGGGATTTTTATAAAAATGAGAACAATTAAATAACTCAAATTAAAAGGATTAAATGAAAATTTATTAAAGTTAAAACAATAATAGATAAATCTAGCCAAGAAATATCTTCGAAAATGGTTCACTCAATTGAGCATTGATGCAATAATAATTTCATTTACCCATTGATAAACAAGTTATAACTGCCAAACAAGCGATGACAATCAACTTCTTCATACTGTATTTTGGAATCGCTTCGAGTATGCAGGCTGAGGCCCGCGCTTTGCTTTTTGGGGTCAACTTATGCCTCCAGAGGGATTTTGATGCCTTTGATGTTGAACTGGATTCCTCGGTGTTAGTGCAAATTCTAAATAGGACATCGCAGTGCCCATGGAGTATCTATAAGGAGGTGCAACAGTTGGTCGGGTTGGTATCCCACTTTCCACGCATTCGTCACTGTTATCGTCAGGCTAACCAGGTTGCAGATATATTGGCTAATGAAGGTTGTCGACAGGGTCGGGTGGAGATTTATTTGGCCGCTTCAGCTTTACCCCAGTTAGCGAGAGGAGCATATCACCTTGATAGGATAGGAGTTGCGTCTATTCGTGTGGTAAGGGAGTAGTACTCCGTCTCTATGGCATTGTAACATTTGGTCCTATTATGGATTAAATAAATAAAAATATTTATATAAAAAAAATGTAGGACCGTTAACCACTGTCTTAATCAAGAAATAACTCTAAGCACGACCTTAGAGTTTAATTTTTCAATTGTCTTAAGAATTAGAGAAACCCTGTTTTAATCAAATAACACGTTACGAGGGTTATTTTAAATTAGCCCATATGTCCCTCTAACACAAATCCAATCGTACCAGTTACCACTATTTGAAAGCAATTAAACAATTACGGATTTAACTGCTTTAATTGGTTATAGGTTATTAGATTAATTCAAATGTCGGGCCCTAAATATTCAAATAACATAATAATCATAAGAAATTAAATCAGAGAATATACGAATACTAGTAAATAAAAATAATAAATATAATCAATTTGATCTCATAATTTTAGTTGAACTAAATCCTCCGTTACTCCTTGACTAGAATGAGAAGTTTAGTTCATCTCCCTTGAAGAAATTGCACGGAAAATAATACAATCCATTGCCAAGACCATTCTTCGATTATCAAATAAAGAGTCAAGAGGAAAAAGAAAAAAGGGAACGTCGTTCCCTATTTCTTTGCCAAGCAAAAGACATGAACTGAATTGTTTCTTGCTTTGTTTTATACTCCTCCTTTAATTATTTTCCTAAATAATTTCAAATTCCCAATCGGCCAATGATTCTTTTTAAAAAGTCAAGATAGATAGACTAGACTAGTATCCTATTAAAAGTGAAAGACTATCCATTCGCTGAGGAGAATCTGATCTTCACGACTTTGATTTAGAATTGGAGATCTTCAAACGTGCAAAATCTCGAGTTTCCCAAACATGCAGTGTAATACTTTGATGCACCCACGCTGAATAGTATAAAAGTCCAGTGAAAAATCATGCATTTAATTCTTTTTTTGCTTTGAATCGCTATAACCAATATTAATTACCAAATATGAGTAGAATCTAACAATTAACACAATATTTGATAAAATTCATGGGAAAAACAATCATAAATTTAATAACCAAAATGCAACCTATCATTTCATTAGCTGGATCTTCATCAAGTCAACAACCAACTCTAACAACAACTCATCTAACCGATCTGCGCTACTTCACATCTTTAAGGCCTTTTGAAGCCCAGTACTTTGTTTTAATTTTTCAACGAAGTTCTTCAACCTACTCTCCATCTTTTTTGGGTAAGAGTTTATTGAAGCTGTAAGCTTGTAAAATGGCTGAATTTTCAGTATCAAAGTTGAAATTTGAATAACAACTAGCTAAGGTTTCAAATAACGGGAGGGAAGAGTTGCTTAGAAAGGCATCAATTCATGACAAACACATCTGCATATTAACTATGTCCTATTTCAAGTCAATCAAGAAGATTTTTGGAAATTGTCAAGGAAACTTAGGATAAACAGCAAACACGAAATTTTCTTTTTTTTTTTTTGGCAAATCCCGTACACGGGAGAGAGACGCCACCCATTTTATTTTATTAAATATAAATTCAAGTATTACAAAGAGTTGAAGACAAATAGAAAGATAAACATAAAAGAAAAGAGTTAAAGACAAATAGAAAGACAAAGATAAAAGAAAAAAGGAGTGCTTTCTCCCTTACAACTTGAGTGCGCACAAAAGAAAATAACCTAGAATCCAAATTAATGAGTATCCAAACAAGAAATTCTCTTTGAATACCTCTTATCCTGCAAAACTGGAAATTCTCTTGGAAATTACTTATAATATCCTAATAATCTTGTGTAATTAGAATAGGGGAGAATTGTAATTTTGGTCCCCAATCTATAGTGTATGCGCGGAATTATCTCCAATCTATTTCGAAAATCAATTTTGATCCCCAATCTATTCAATTTTATGCGAAAGTGGACAATTGACGGAATCTCTTCAATTTCAATTGGAACTAAGTCATGTGAGATCACGTGCCGGCACCTAAAGCCCCTTTTTCAAATTTTTAATTTCTAAAACACGTTTTTTTAGTATTTTCAGCTTTCTCTTGCCTTTTGTCTTATTAAACAAAGACATGAAAGGGGTAATCTCACAATCCAAATTGCTCCTCTTGTTGGCCGCCGCCTTCAAATCCCCAGAACCCACAGCACGAGTAAGAAGCTCAGCTTGGTCTTCAAGTCCAAGTCTCGTTCTTGCCTCCATTAGTAATGGAGATAATCTGCAATCAACGCCAGAGACGGACCCAGTTCAGTTCTCCTGCACAAACAACAGGTGCAGCAGCAGCAGCAGTACTACTTCATAAGCAAGCAAGCAAGCAGCAGAGAGAAAAGAGCGGATGATAATAATTGGAAATCAAAAGGATTATACGGACCAAATCATCAAAGGGATTATATTGGTAAGTATATTCTTTCTCTATAAACCATTCTTCACCGTTGAACTGGAAAGAGCATTCAATTGAACCACTAGTAAATTATTGTTAGGTCATGCTTACTGCTGGAACAGACACTTTATCGGTGACTATAGAATGGGCCTTGTCTCTTTTGCTTAACCATCTTGAGGTGCTAGAGAAAGCTCGAGCTGAATTAGATGCTCAAGTAGAGACTGATCAATTGGTCGACGAACATGATCTATCCAATCTTCCTTATCTTCATAATATTATTTCAGAAACACTTCGGTTGTGCCCAGTAGCACCAATGCTAGTGCCACATGAGTAGTCCGATGACTGTAAAATTGGGGGATACAATATTCCGCAAGGCACAATTTTGCTAGTTAATGCATGGGCAGTTCACAGGGACCCAAACGTTTGGGATGATCCAACAAGCTCCAAGCCAGAGAGATTCGAAGGCTTGCAGGTTCAGCCATCAAAGCTGATTCCATTTGGGATGGGAAGTAGATCTTGCCCTGGTTCTGGCCCAGCACAGCAGGTGGTGGGTTTGGCCTTGGGATCTCTAATTTAGAGTTTTGATTGGAAAAGAATTAGCGAGGAAGAGATTGATCTAGCTGAAGGGACAGAAGTGTCCATGCCAAAAGCCAAGCCACTAGAAAAAACGTGTTTTAGAAATTAAAAAATTGAAAAAGGGGTTTTAGGTGCCGGCACGTGATCTCACGTAACTTAGTTCCGATTGAAATTGAAGAGATTCTGTCAATTGTCCACTTTAGCGCAAAATTGAATAGATTGGGGACCAAAATTGATTTTCGAAATAGATTGGAGATAATTCTGCACATACACTATAGATTTGGGACCAAAATTACAATTCTCCCATTAGAATATCAAACTAAATTTGTAACTCATATGCTTGTAAAACTTGTATGCAAAAACTTTCCCCTAAAATTTCATAACCTTTTTTAAATTTCATAACTTAGTATTGTTGGTTGGCTATTATTGATTATTTTAGTAGCATTTTTTATATGCATTAGTAAGAACGTCTATAACTACCTAGATACACTCATATCACTATGTTGCACATATGCACGATATCTATTTATGTATAGGGTAAAGTGCATCAAAAGTCACCAAAATATTTCAAAGTTTCATTTAGCTTATTGAATAAGGATCATTGCTAATTGCCCCAAGATTTAGAGACCTTTCATTGGGCAACCATAGATATATGTGGTTTACAAGTTCTTTTTATACATGCTTCCCCACCTCATTGCAGTGAGAGCTGGGTCCTGGGAATTAGGCCTATTGGTCCACCAAATAAGAAGAATATTAATTAAAAGGTTGAGTGGTGAGGTGAGAACACATTTACTATAGGCCTATTTGGCAAATGAGAGAGAGAGGAAAGGAAACAAAACAAAACAAAAAAAGTTACCAGCACCAGCTGAGGTGCCGGTCAGTATTGGCTAGTGGCAGAGATAGTGATGGATTGAGTTGGGGGAGGAAGAAGAACGGAAAGAAGGTAATTTTATGTGTGTTTTGGGATATTTTAAAGTGTGTATTTTAAAATTTTTGGAAATTTTTTTGAAATATATTATAATTAAAGTTGTTAAAAAACTTTGTAAAAACTTTTTTGCCAAGCAAACCCATAATTTATCTATTATTATACTATTCAATAGTTGATATATTGTAGGAGTTTGTAATACTTTGACCTGTGTTATCTTTCAATGTTTTTCAATCATTTTATTCTTCAATAATCTTCATTCATGTTATCTAATGGTTATTAGTTAGTTTAATTCAATTTCAAAACCCTGTAGTTTAGGCGAAAAAAGGAAATTAATTAAATCAACTTAGTGAAAAGCCTGTATAAGTAAAATTTACTACTTTAATATTTCCTAAAATTTAAAAAAAAAATGAGTAAAAGTTTACCCAAAATCGTGACAATTAAAACAAATAATAATTACTGAGTTGTATACAATATAAAGATGTTAGATAGTTTTCTATAATAATAAGAATGTTAAATATTTTATCTTAAAATTTAAATTATTTTTAACCAGTTCTAGTTCCCACGCGTAGCAAGGGAGATAAAGCGAGTAATTAATTAAATAAAAATCTAGTTGACTCTGGCACTCTAGTATCATTGGCAATGTTACTTGAATGAATTGGTCGACCACAAAATATTACATTAAATTTGAATCTAACAAAGAGAGTCTGAATCTTGAACAAAAAAATTTTGGGCGTTAGTGTGGGATAATTCATGGGTCTTCTCTTTTCTCTTGTGTTTCAATTTATCATGTTTTAACATAAACCTAACAGAAGAAAAATGATTTAGCAATGAAATGAACCGAATGACTAGTAATCAACACGTGTAGAAGTTTTAAGCGAGTTTAAAACTTTCAGTAATTAATTTTCCAACACTAGTTTAGTAGCCTCCCCAATAAATTGGTCATGGGTGGAATCTTTTTCAACCTACACACAATCCATTTTTATTCCTTTTCTAAATGAAAGAGAAATTCTTGTGCTTGGGACATGCAAACAGCTCAGCACTCGTAGAAGTAGCATCTTATCTTGTAAATAATTGGAGAGAATCACCAAAGACTGGTAATCGAGCCCTTGATTTCCAAGGCCTAGTCTGGCTTTTTTGGGAATTTAGTAAAGAAACAAAAGGAAAAAAGAATGTTAAGAAAAGACAAAATTTGTGTTATATTTTATTTCTTCTTGTTGTGGGTCCTGAGAAAGAAATGGTGTGATTTGATACTTATTTTACCTTTAAAGTTTTTCTTTCATTTTTTTTGTGGCAAATATGATATTATACTAAATTATTCATTAAGCTTTACCTTGTCAATGAGGCATTGGTCCAGTGGCTAAAATTGAAAACTCAAGTATTAGAGGTCTTAGTTTCAAATTCCTTTGCCTCCTCCCCATTTCTTAAATTCCACCCTCCCTGCTGGAATAAATTCCAACAGGACTATTATTCCCTCCAATCAAACTCAAGTGGCTATCAATTTTATTAGATGCTATCTCGACTTTGGAGTTAGCTTTATATCTGAGTGTAGATCTTTTTCAAGAAAAGGTTGCTTTCATTCTAAGCTAATTAGGAATCTAAAGACATGGAGAATTTTTATACATCTATATCTATTAGAATTTATTTTCAAAATTTATTGTTGTTAATTTTTTATGTTATATATGGTACCTAAGAATGAATTCTTTTTTCCAATACGTTATGCAATAATAATTCTTTTCAAAGGCATCCTAAAGCTCTTTACTCATATACTATTATCCGGTAGAGAAGTGATAACGCATAATCTAATGAGAATAACACGTAAATGAAAGTCAAAGTACATTAAGACTGCATCTTATCAAATCAACAAATTAATGATTTTGAGACCAACAAAGAACTAGTATTTAGCCCGTGCCTTGGTATGATCATTCTTTTGTTTTATTACTTGTGAATTTGTGCAAGTATAAATACTTTAAGTTAAACAAATAATAAATAATCCCACATATTCATTTAATAAATAAACCCGCATAAGTGGATCAATATCCCTAATTTTTTTTTTAGTACAGATGGAAGATTTTGAATCCAAAACTTCTCACCTACATACCCTTCTCGCATACCAACCAACGCACCCCTTCCCCCATATATGCCTAAAGTTTAGGGACAAGAGAAATAGAATAGGTTTGGATGGATTAAGGGTGAGAATTATCTATCATTTTCAAAAATTTAGTGTCTCTTATTTTCCTATTTTCCCAATTACAAATAAGATTCCACATCGAGCATTGCTTCGATCCTTCTAAGTAATAAGGGCGAGATACTAAGTATTATCACATTTTGTCAATGACATGCAAAATTCTTGGAAAAGTTTGACTGAAAGTTAATGTTTTCCCATCAGAATATAAATGTGAGTACCCTAAGTATATTTGTGTCTGTTTGTATATATATAACAGTGAAGTTAATTAGAAAATTGTCTAAATACTAGGAGGAAATATTTAAATCTAAGTGTGTACATTATGACTGGAGAAAAAAAATATATGGATCAGGCATATCCTTAGGCAGACCCAATTTATGGATATACTTACAGATCATGAGATATATTTAGTCACCATATTAATTTTCTTACAACACCATACATTACTTCCTATCATTTTCAACACATCATACACAACTGTAATTTTGTGATTATTGAATATTAAGTGATGGGTAAGTTAGTTTGTAAACGTGGTATACTTAAGGATTGAAGGAAATTAAGTATTTAGTTTTCTAATTTTTTTAGTTTCTTGTTTTGGTGTCCTATTCGTTTAGTTTCTCTAATAGATTAGAAAATTCCAAATCAATTCCTAATAAGTCTCAATTTATAATTGTGTTTGTTTAGAAAGTTCTACAATCTATAAATATTACTAGTCTAGTACATTGTTACTTAAAATGTTGAATTGAATCAAGTTGTGAGATAGAGGAAAAACCTCTAAATTGAGATTTCTGAGTTGTCATAAACGAAAAGTTGCAACTTGATATTATTATTATTCAATTTTGAGTTAATAAAATTATTGAGTATTTATTGTGTATTTATTCTTCTCATCTTCCCACAAATTTTTTGTGCGTTAAAATTACTTCCACTATACGTATGTTTTTTTTGCTCCAACAGATGGTATCAAAACTCTAGACTTTGGTCCTAGAGCTTTTTCGTGAAAGTAAGTTATGAGTTCATATTGTTTACAATATTGTGATGTTTTTATCTTTGATTATAAAAACAGTTTTGAAACAAATGGAGTACGATGATGAAAATATTTTTTCAAACAAATAGAGTTTGGGATATTATCCAAACAGGGTTCATGAAACCTACAAAAGGCGTCAAATTATCAAGTAGTGTAGTTAAAGAATTGGAGAAAAATAGACAGTTGGATGGCAAGGCGTTTCAATCTCTCATTATAAAAGTCTAGTTGCATGGAGTCAACATGCAAAGAGGGCAAAGGAGGCTTAAAAAACTTTGATGAATTCTTATTGTGGTCATGGTAGAGAAATTGGTGCCAAGGAAGAAGAAAAAGAAGTTTTTGATGAGGTAGAGAAAGATGAAATTACACAAATTGTGGGTGCACGTGAAGATGAAAATTTTGTGATTCACGAGGAGATTTCACATGTGGTTGAAAGAGAAAGCAAAATCATTGATGAGATTAAAAAATGTGATTGAATATCATGATGAGCCAGAAATTCTTTTTTTTTTTAAATAGCTTTTTTATTAATGAAGAGATATACAAAACATAAACTCCTCTTACATACCACTAATTTTCCGAATTGAAGGCAACCCTATTCTATCAAGGCGAATTGCCCCACGAGCTTCCCTTGGAAACGTACTAAAGCTGTCATATACCTTGACTTGTTGCTGTGGGTGAGATACGCCCACATTAGACAATGCATCAGCAACTGTGTTAGTCTCTCGATAGCAGTGTGAAACAAGAACAGGATCCTGCAAGAGCTTCCAAATCTGCCTGACCTCCCTTCGAATGTGCCACGGACATTGAATGCGACGTTGAATGATCCCAACTAAGAGCAATGAATCTGAAATTCTTGATTATGTTGGAGTT